TCTTCATCAATGTTACCAAAGTCCCCAGAATCTTAAATCAACTTCTGTTAGAATTCCTACACGTAGGCTGTTCCCATAACTCGCATCCTTCATAAACTCCTCCTGATCCTCGGGTTTTGTAGCCATAACAAAGATCAACCCGCGCAATTGGAGGCCTATCTTGATCATTTATTTGTCCGTTGTAATCTAACATCCATCCTGATATAGCTTTTCGTCCCTCAGGTGTGCATCTTGAATCTTTTATAAGTGAATAACTGAAGTATTCTTCCTCCTCAGATGTAACATTGATGTAATCATATACAACATTTCTAGGGTCTGATTTACCAATGAATTCAAACGCCTTATCCTTCAACACCCCACTAGTCCAATAAATCACTCCTCTTCGCCTAACTATCAACCGCCCTCGCCTGGAGTCCCAGTCCAGTGTGAAAGCCCCAGGCGCAGGTACTCCTTCTGCTAACCATGATGTAAGTGACCAATTCCGGCCAGTCCTGTGGCTGACCCCTAATTTCATCCCGGGCAAAAGGGTGTCTGTAGGATAGTCAAAGCTCTGCCACAATACATGTCCTGTGGTTCCATTGGAGTTAACCTCTCTTACCACAAAATTGCCAGAATCCAGCAGGGTAGCTGTTTTATTATCGCGGGTTTGAGTCGTATATAGCTCAATAGTATCCCCTCCATTATGTGTGATTATCATATTTCCGGTGTTATCGATGGCGAGAACACCAGAATTGTTATGAATAGGTGTGTTTCTGTTACCAACCCATACTGGATGGGATTGTGAATCGTTGGTGTACCATATTCCTAAGTAGTTTTCTTTCGAATACGGGGGACTAAAGAATCCCAAGGTGAAAACCTTTTTAGCAGACACTAGGTAGGAGGAGGAAGTGAGAATAGCACCTTGTTGGAGTGTGTCGTCCGATGATGCAACAACAAAGGCCAAGAAAGGGAGAAAGAGAGAGAAAATTACCAAGCTTTCCTTGTTATTCATCACTAATAAGCAAGTTCTGCTGCCACAGATAGAAGCGGAAAATGGGTCTTAGATGGTGTGGTTGGTTATAGCAAAAAAATGCAGGCACTGAATCAGAGGCCAGCAAAGCTATGGACTTCCAAGATTGACGAGAGCATAGATATCGGGATCCAAGGCCGGAGCAGAATTTTTGTTTATCCGGTTAAGCTAAGTATTCGTATAATTAATAAAATATAAATGTAAACTCATAAACATAGCCTATTAATAACCCAAAAATTTTGTTTTTAATATTGAGCCAAAAATTTTATTTTTTTAATATTGGATTAAAAAATTTTATAATAGATTTGGATAAATTTTAATAAGTTTGGATAGATAATATTATGTTCAAATTTTTTTGTTTTAAATGGATTAAATTTATAATACATATATTCTACTAATAAATTTTATTTTTTTTTTTACTCTAGACTTCGGTCCACCTTAATCCACTAATAGCTACGTCCTTGTCGGGATTGTAAGGGTGTATGAATGTATTATTCCATATAAAAGTGATAAAATATACGATGACTCAAAATAAATACCAAGTTAGCTCATACCCATGATACGACGTACTCAAATAAGTATTGTACCACAGAACAAATCAACCGGCGATCCAAATAACTATGATGGGATGGGATCCATCGTCTCCTTTCCTCGAAAGCAACTTGCCATGTTTTTTTTGTTTGTTTAGCGAGAGAATAGTAAAATATGTAAGAAATAGAAATTTTTAAAATTTTTATGTGTTTGGTTAACATAAAAAATAAAATAATAAAAAAAATAATTTTCTTTCACATTTGAATTTTCTCACAAATAACCATCTTTTCTTTTTTCTTATAAAAAATATAAGGAAATACAAGAAAGGTGTAATCCATTAATTGAAAACAAACTTGGTATGAATTTGATTAAACACATAATTTGGCTCAAAGACTTTTGTATTGATGGTTGTCCTAGAATTAGAATTCGAGCTACTTTTTAAAAAAATTTTAACTTTCAATTATAATTGTTTTTCCCTTTTTAGACCAATTTAATATAATTAAGAGTAATTTAGACTTTTATAAAAAAATTCTTATAATTTTTTTTTCTTTCAAACAATAGAATGAATTATTTTTAAAACTTTCCTGCAAATTTTTCATTCTAACAAAATACATGTATAGAATTATATTTTATATTATTTTCTTTTCTTCCACTTTACTTGCTATCATTTTTATTTTTCATCATTTTTTTTTTCTTAATCAAACGGACCCTTGAGAAATTACAAAAATCTTTCCTAAGTATAATTACGGAGGACTTTTTTTTTCTTGGGGTACATATTGACAAAATTATCTGAATCTTCTAACATAGAAAAAGGTTAATTTCAAGTGAATTATCTTCCTCAAATCTAACTCTAAGTCCTTTATGGGGATAATTTCCATTCGGAGAAGTATCACACGAACCGACCTCTCAATCGATGCAACAGTTAAATCAGGACCCACGGTTGCGAGTCGAACACACATCCAAGGTATAGATACTTCAGTCAAAGACTCGGCCAATTAACCAAACTGTGACGTCGTCTAAGAGTCTGACCCCAGGGTCGCCAAGTCATCTAATGTAGTTGGTGGGATTAGCTGTCCCATTTGAAGAAATATGAAAAAGAAACGACTTTTGTGTAAATAGTGAAAGTTGTTGAAAGGCAATGGCAAGGCTCCAAAGAGGGGTCAAATCGAATATAGGGATATTAGTAATAATTTGTGTTCGAATATACGACAAAATATAAAATTCAACAACTTAAAAATTCAATCATATTATATTAAATAATATATATATATTTTTTTTATTTCTATGATTACATCATTTAAAATTAATTTTTACCCGTTACAACAGTATGACACTAGGTAACGAATTAATGAGTTTGATTTCAGTCTTACTAGTTTTGTCGCTTTAAACTATTGAATCCGTTATACCTGTTAAATAAATAAATTAACATAAAAATTGACTAAACACCATATAAATCCGATAAATACAACTTATATTATACAATGAATTTGACAATAACACCGACGACCAGCACAACCCAAAGTCGACTCCCGAAAGGACTTGTGACAAGGCAATTAACCCACGGCATTGACTGGATGATGATGGAAATTGGACAACGCAAAAATATTATAATATAATTCTTCTGTTAATTTTTTATTAATTTATTTGTTCATATCAATGGATTAATTTTTGAAAAAAAAATAACAAAAGTTAACTGAAAAGTCACATTGTAATACTTTTGATACATTGATGATGTAATATAAAAAAATTAATCTTTAAGGGTATAAAATAAAAGTCTTAAAATCTTTCAGGGTATAAAGTGTGAAAAACCCTTTTGTATATGAATTGTCTTTGATATATATATTTTTTAATAAATCATACATCAATGCATTAATAAATAAAGTCGTACTTAAATTTATAATAAGTGAAAAATCAAAAAGAAAATATACAAAAAAATATATTAAATGGCTGCTCACTCATTTTATTGGTATAATAAGATAACTAGCATTTTAAATTTTAGCATGTCACCTATTTTTATCATAAATTAAATCATTTAATTTTGACATTATTCATGTACGATTGTATGCATATTGATATTTATTTTCAATGTGTATATCCTTCAATATAACTTCTCGTAATTGTTTAATTTCTGAAATAGAGGGTGGAAGAAAGAGCGAGAGAGAGGTTTGTAAATCTGGGTTAGCATTAGTTGATTCTATAATAATCTTTTTAAAGCTTGAGGAGAAACTATTAGAATATGAAAAACCTAGATGAACTATAATAGATCTCTATGGGTGGTGATAGTGGTGGTCCAAGAGCAGTGAAGACCAAATTATATATTCAGCCATCAACTATAGTCTTCGAAAAGCATATATTTATGTAATTTGTATTTTCTATATCAGAGCGAATAATTTTTTGATCTACACTATTTGATGGGTATGAAAGAGATTTAGGTTTAGGATTTTGGTTGATGGATGTAAAGAATGAGATTCTTCGTCCAATAAATTTTGAACGAATAGTTTAAAATACCTCTAATCTATTGTCCATATGGTGAGCATGTGAGACATTCCATTGAAAAACTTAATGGCTACTAATAAAATAGCTTAATTGCTAAAATTTTAGAATTTAGGGACTCAATTGACACGAAAATTAGTTCAGGGTTTAATTGCTAAAATTTTAGAATTTAGAGATTCAATGAACACGAAAATTAGTTCAAAAACTTAATTGACACAATAATCATAATTTAAGGATCATTCATATAGTTTACTCTTATCTTTTTTGATGAAAAATGGTCATGTTTCTAAACAAAGTGAAATAAAATCACATGATTTAGGGAGCAAAGTGAAATAAAATCACATAAGTTAGGGAGTAGAGTGAAACAACTTTTCACTAAATTTGTAACGGAAATTAATCATTGCAACAACACGAAACTAATTACTACAGTTTAAGGCATAATATGAGAAACATGATAGTTGGAGGCGCAACATGAGACGGGGGCATAAAGTATAATTTTCACCAAAAGTAAATAACTCTTTGCCAAAAAAGTTCAAATGTTCCTCGATCATATTTTCTTATGCTTCTGTTTTTTCTATATTACAAGTCTCCACATGAAATACACACATATTGTGAGTGTTTCTCCTTTTATATATAAGGAATACCATACCACTCAACTTGAACATGAGAGAGAGAGAGAGAGAGAGAGAGAGGAAAATCTAAATAAAAATCATGGAAAATGCTAAGGAGAAGGAACAATTTTAGATCACAGAGAATATGTAACGACGGAAGTTTCGTGAGCTATAGTTTTAACCAGTTTTTTTAGGCTTTTGTGGCTTTTAATGGAGCCGCAGCCTTGGTGGCTATGAGTTGCTCATAGAGGTCTCTTATCTTCAATCCGACTATGGTTTGGAAGAGACCAGTTCCATTGCTGCTGCCCGGGAAGTCGGCATGCTTCAGCATTTGTTGAGTGACTTCACCATAGAAGTTGGTAGAGATGTTGCTCAGATGACTTTCGACGTAGATGAGCTCGTCTAATCTGTCGAATTGGCCGTCCATCTCCAACACAGACACCTAAGAGAAATCAGAAGGAAACAAAGCAGATTATAGTGAATGATGGTATCCTTGAAACTCATCTCTATCTCTCCCCCCCCCCCCCCCCCCCCTCTTCTAGTCTGCTAAATGAGAACATCTGACTCAATACTGTTCATCTCCTCCTCGTAGTGATTCTAAGCAGTAAACTAACTGTAGTTGGTGTTGTTAAACAATCCGAGCAACTTATGTTTAGGATCGACTCTGTTTTGGATTATTCATGTTGAAAAATGAACCAACTTTGATCAGTTTTCTAAGATTGTTTTATAAACGAGCCATATCTAAGTCATGTAATTGAAAGATGATCAACCCAAAAATTTATGTAAATAGTTTCAGAACATATACACTTCTTTCTCTCTCTTCACAATAGATTTTTGAGATGTTTAAACGGGTTTGCTGTTATAATTGATTGCATAGATTTTGGGAGATTCTTATTGCAAAATATAATATTATATATCTAGTTATTAACTCCTAATGCTTCATTTTTATAAATTTTTATAGAGAGATTGTGCTTGATTTCGGCTCGAAAGCTCAACTTCTACCAAGCCAAACTGGATCAAGAATCTAAGCTCGACAACCGAATCAAGATTGTTGATGTATTCTCAAGTTCAACAATCTCGGCCCGATTAACATTCCTAATTGTAGTGCATGATATCCAGGAAGTTGCTGAAAGTTTTTGGAGGCTGGTTATTGCATACATACCTCATGGCCAAAGTAGGTCTCAGGACCATAGAAAAATTTTATGCCAGGGTAAGAGCAAGTGAGTTTCCTCCCACATGGTATCCATGAGATGGTAGAGCCTTCATCAAACAGGTAAACTGGATTGAAATACTTCACCCCTTCTTTCATTATCAACCTTACTCTCAAAACCTTTCCCTCATTATCACTAGGAATGAGCTGGGTTGGCAACACTTCAATAACAGCATCTGCATATTGCTTCTGTGTATCTGCACAATGAAACATTTGTGTGAACACTTGGTCTGCATATATTGTGTGGGTGCAGTGATTGATGCAGGGGCGGAGCCAGAATATCCCAACCGGGCGTCCAATATTGCAGGATCAAAAGGGCTAAAAGATAATTTTAGAAAACCCTTAAGCTCCGCCCTCGAATGGATTTTTTGGGTGCCCCTATGATCATCACTTAGGATTGAAAAATGTCTTATTAGTATGTTATCAGTTATGAATACTATTAAACAGTTTGAAAAATTCATCTTATTAAAGTGTATTAAATATGAATACTCAGAAACTACATAAGTTTATCTCCGAACTTTTGAATATTTCAAAAATTCAAAAGGTCATCCCTAGGCTATAAGTTTGTCTATGAGTGCATATGTGTGTGCATGCGCATGCTAGACATATAGAGGACTAATCAAGAACCAAACAGCAGCTTGGTAAATGGATACCCACATAAAAACCATGCAAATTTTGATTGGTATTGATGGATTAAGCTAGGGTAAGAAGATGACCAATGTAAGCATCAAAATCTGGCTTTCGGGCTTCAATACTAGCTTTGATACTTTCGAGGCTGTGTCCTCGCTCCGCCATGTCTCTCTGCATATTTATAGGACATAATCATGTAAAACAATATGTATCAGTAAGCAATTTAACTCAACAAAAACTTGTCCTTAGTATTTGTGATCCGGCTACATAAATCTTGTTCCGTCAAGATGCATGTTCATACGAGTTTGAACAAGTTTTACACTGACTATCACCTAATACAGTCCTTGTTCTTTATCCGATCTTAGGACCAATTACCTGTATTTTCCAGGCAAATTTAACCTCATTGCTGATATCCAAATAGATGCTGAAGTCCAAAAGGTCCCTCACACGCTGATCATACCTACATATTTGGAAAAAAAAACAAGGTTTAAGACATTATTTATAAAGTCCCTCTGCAAATAACAGAATAATATTTGAATTACAATAAGCAAATAAAAACAGATACTTAAATGAACATATCATTATGTATATGTTTCCTAGGCTACTACTTAAGAGATGTTGTCTGCTAAAAATCATCAAAGTTTCAAGGCAATACCAAAAGATTTGACAAGGACAATCATATTTCCTCAACCGTACAACTAAGGTGCCAAGGATTGCTTTGATTTCTTTGTAATCTTAACCAATGGACAACACTCATAAACGAATATTGGGTGATTTTCTTTCTCCTCTACTAAAATTTAGAAGAGTCCTGGCCACATTTATCCTTAGGATAATACAAAATAAATACGAAATACGACAAACAAAAAAGTTGATACATAAATGTTTGTTTAATGAAGTGCATTCTCCTCTACTAAAATTTAGTCCTTTTTTTTTCATTTTCAAGCAAAATTATTCACATTTTTCCCTAAAAAATTACATTTTTTCCATGCATAAGGGTACACATAAATAGAGAAAAAGGAAACGTTTACTTAAAAAACAGAGACCATGATCCAATGACTTCAGAATAACAAAATCAGTTTCAGTACATCTCACTGAAAAGCAAATAAAAAAAATTGCAAGTATAAAGAATAAATAAAGGGCAGAGACTCCAAATGTATCATGAGAGAGAAAATTTGGTCATGAATTACTTTATAGAAACTATGAATGCTAAGCAAAAACTTACATTGGGTGCAATCCTTCAATGACAAGGATCTTGGGGGGCTTGATGAGCTCAGGAGGGTCCAAGAGACCAGTCACATGGTTATAAATAGGCTTATCAACAGCAACACCACTCTTGATAGCCTTAACCTGCTCATACATGAGATCAAAATCGTTGGCTCTTGGATCAAGTGCAGTCACACCCTTCTCTTTCCTTCCAGTCCTATCCAGTGAGTGATAATCATCCAAACATATCACAGTGGTCGTGTCACTGATGAGTGTATTGGAGTCTGGATTACCACCTTTTGGTGGTTCTGCTGCCCCTCCAAACACACTGGTCAGCCTCCTCATGAAGGTGCTCTTTCCACACCCTGAGTCAGCTGCCAAACCAATCACAACGGTCTGTGAGTCGCCAGCTGAGCATTTTATCTCACTTGGACCATTGTTACTTCCTCTCCTGCCGGTTTTCTTGTCAGTGGTGTAGAAAACCACTTGCTTTTGGTGAAATCCTAAGCGGGTTTTTGTGGGTGTTGAGATTGAACAGGTGGAGTTGAGGGATTGAATTGTATACACAGTGCAGACTGCCATTTTCTCTCTCTTCCCAGAGGAGTTCTAGTGGAGGTGGAGAGAGAAGATTTCTCAGCTGGTTTTCAGAGCAGGCATGAAAAAGGTTCTTTAATCTTTTTTCCTTTGGTTTCAAATGAGAAGTTTTGAGACACAAATGAAAAGAAGAGGCTGTGGGTAGAGAAAACAGAAAACAGTTTTGTTTGGATAGGAAAGTGTTTGATTTGATGAGCAGGCTGAGGCGTGACTGTTTATGGGTTTCTAAGACTACCCCTTAGTTTGGACAAATTTGGAGGTGATTTTAAGGTGGGAAGAGAGCAGACATGGCTTGGTATTTTTTCAATAGGCTGGGGCATCTTGGGTATTTAATTTTTTTTTTTTTTTTTAGTTTTTTTTGAAATGAATATATATATTTTTTTAATTCATTGGAAGGATGGAATTGTTGATGAGGTGATGGGGTTTGTGATAAATGTTGGCATGGAGAAGCTTGGTGGTCATTTGTTGCAGTTTGGATATTTGTCATGCCACGTGGCATGAGGGTGGTGGCTTGTTTGAAGATGAGGGGAAGAGGGTGGGGAGTGGAGGAGATATGGGCGTTATGTCACTCCAATTCAACTTTGGAATCTGCCTGAGTATGCTTTTGTGTACCACAATTTTATCAGTAGTACCAAGTTCATTTGAGGACCAAATTCTCTCAACTAGGGCTGTTATTTGAGACGAAATATTCAGACTTGATTTGGTTCAATTTAGATAGAATTTGACTCGAGTTTGATTCGTGTTTTACATAAGTTGAGGTTGAACAATTTTTTAAATTACTCGAACAGCAAAACTTAATTTATTTATATATAAAATAGTTGAACTATTCGGGTTCGCGCTCGACTCATTTTCTAAAAAAATCGAACTTTAACAAATTTTTAGACTTGCTGAGTTAAACGAACTCGACAAACTTAAGGTTAAACTCGTAAAATTCGGCTCGATTAATACCTCTACTCTAAAACAGCCACATATTTCTATTTACATTAGGCCATATCATTTGATCTTTGTGTTTCATTTTTTCTAAGTATGTCAGTCTTACATTACTCGTATGAACAAATAGTAGGTTATCCCAGAGCGGGAAAAGCCATAAAATTTCATTCCTTATTGTTAAATTGTTCTATCCATCTATGAAAAGCAATATAACTGTGCTCAATCAACAATTGATTCAGTGATCGAACAAAAAATTAAATGTAAACGTGTTCATCCTCAGGACAAGTCTCCCAACCCACATAAAATTTGAATTTATCGATACATATTTTATGGCCGACTATGGAAATGTGAAGTTTACGTTATAACCATGGATTCAAAAGATCTGCCTTGGAGACCATAAGCATTTACCAATGTATACATAACTACTCGAGCATTGAAGCAAAATATATTGTAGCCCGTAAAAGAACCAAAAAGAGCAAGCACAGATAGGGTTTTTTTTTATTGGGGGGTGGGGGGGAGTATCAAAATTTAGAGGCCCAAAAAAATGTAAAGCTTGATTAATAACAAATCAAAACACAAAGGGATAAATAGCATCATGTTTTCATCCGTCACTTCGCCCCGCCCCACCCCGCCCCTATTAATACTTTATTGGGGATAATTCGTGTCTGATGGTGCAATGTAAATAATTTTAAAAATAATGTTAGTGACCGTTGAATAAGTATATTTAAAACTGTCAAATGGACTTATTGGTATATACTTTGACATGTATTGGAAGGACAAGAAGATTCTAAATATCATAATTTGGAGCCCATTCAATTATTTAGCTGTCCATGTAACAGGGAGAACTCAACGGTACTGCCGGTTACTACTACTTTGTATAAGAAGTTATATGTCAAAAAGTTGACCCAAGACTTCATCCAATTCAATAATTTTCAGAAAATCTTGGCAGACCTGGTATCTCACAACACAACCAACATCTAAACATAAATCCCCGGAACTTCACTTTATTTTAACCGACCTGTCGGTGCTTGCAGTTACTTGTGGAAGACTACTTCAGTCCCAACACCATGGGAATTCTCGAGGACGAGATTGAGTAATAACAGTGTGTTTTCCTCACAGAAGATTGAATATGAACTTTCCACAAGGACGACATTGAAACATAGTTAGTTACCTGAAACAAGGTCATAAACGGTAACGGAGAATCGTCACATGCACCCTTTTCACTGATAACTCCAACATCTGCAACCATAGTCCAAAGGTGCGTAGCTGGAACATTTTCCCCCCTTGCCCAAAAATCAAATAAAAAAAAACAACATTTTGCGATCCTGTTTCACAATCTTCTTTTATTTCCAGGTCTTCCAAACCTCGTGCATCTTCCAAGGGTATCAGTGAAACGATGTTCACTCATTAAAAGCCACCCAATTTGACGTGCACAAAAACTCGCGAGCTAATTTATTTCTGAGGAACCAACCACTATTTCTACACAAACTGTGCAAGTAGCAGGCGTACATATTCAAATTAGAAACTTGCACACACCATGGAGTACTCAGCAAGGGAATCCAATTAGCATCAACAACTTCGCGCAATTCTGGATATCCATTTGATATATACATATATACATATATATATCATGGCCAGGACTATTCACCAATAATGTTCTATGAACCTACTCACCAGTTTGGTAAAGATAGATGTATTAAAATAGAACAAAATTACGAGAGGACAAATATGATTTATTACATGAGAACTAGACATTATCGATCTTGAAAAAAACTAAATTTGCTATTAAGCACGCCAATCATTGTGCTTCAACTCAATCAAATATCTCAATAAAGAGATGAAACAAAGGATATAAAAGAATACAAACAGGAATCTCAAGAATAATATTGGAACATGTGAATCAAATCATGACCCAGGTTGATTTATCACTCGTGCCCTCGGAAATACATATAAATTTTCTGCAGACAAAGGAAAAGAACAAGGTTTCAGAGACTAAACTAGAGGCAAAGAAACAGAGAAGGCTTACATAAAACAACAATCTCCCCCCCCCCCCCCCAACCAACCCAAAAAAAAAAAAATGGAGAATAGAGAAGAAAACTGTATTGTCTAAAAACTCATCATTAGTGTATGCAGCTGCTCATCTTGTAATATGACATGCACCTACTCCCGACTCTATTACATGGACAACTAAGAAGCACATAGACTCAGGACATGAATAAGACATGACATGTCTAAGCGCGTCAGTCACGTGTCCGAAAAGAAAACATAGTACTAAAAAAGGACACTTATTTTAGCGTGTCCAACACCATGTGTTCTAAGTGTGTCCATGTACCAGACTTGTCCGACACCGACATTGGTCAAAATGAAGTGTTCAAGCTTTGTAAATGGACAATGTTAGCACAACCATTTTTCTAATTATGGTTCCATTAAGGGATACGGTTATAGATTTTTGGGGAAATTTCACTCGAACACCCTCTTTTTGTCAAACAACAAGACAACCATTTGACATTTCAAAAATGACACAACAAGCTTATTTGCATATTTTCATTGAGAAATGACTTATTTACTCTTCAAAATGGTGATTAATATTCCTGATTAAATTGTTCAAAATTAAACTAATTCTTCTTTTCTGACTCTCACATGACCTATAGTCAAAAAGTATGAAAACAAATTTGTGGGAATCCCACATGGGATGAGTAGACGGGGAGGAATGGGCACTAGCAGCAGATTGGAGGGAGCAAAAAGGGGGGAGGGGAAGGAAAGAGAGCAGCCTACTTGGGGCTTTCAGAGAAGAAAGGGGGCTTTGGATAAAGGTGTGCAATTTTTTAAAACATGTATATTTTAGGCCAATGGAGAACAAATTTGATAGCAAGATTAGATTGTTAAAGTAATACACTTGATTTTTTTTAATTTTTTTTTGGTCTGAAAGTAATACACTTGATGGAACTCAGAGAATATGTGATTAAACAAGCAACAGGGCAAGGCAAAGGCTGACAAGCAATTAGAAATGCAATTATTTTTCTAACCTGAAGCACCCACAAGCTGAGAAGTGCTTCCAAGCAAAACAAGGCAAACCCAACCAGGTAGAAAATCTGCAATGAAAACACAAGGCATAATTGGTATTTTGACAGGAAGCACCTTAAAGAATAACATGACCTGATTTGCTACGTATAGTTAGGCAGCTTAAACTAGAGTACATTAACTTAAAGTTTTGCAAATTAAAAGACAACCTGAAATGCAATGTAATATTGGTTTTTCTTTTTGTTGTTGTCGTTCTTGTGTCTTCTTTTTTTTTTTTTTTTAATTGACATACAAAGTTATCCTCTCAATCAGAAGACTTGCATCAAAAAATGGTTAAAGCAACATGTTAGGCTCTAGTCCCAAAATATAATAAATCAATCATATGAGATTACCCAACCCACGAGGTACAAATACAAATACAGAAAAGGAAGCACAAAAATGGCCAATCAATGAACGAACTAATAAGAACATGATTGCAATCAATAAAAAAAAGGCAGTGTAAAACTTACCCCCACCAAAACATGGTCAGAAAAGACATCAATTGCTGCAAGGATGCCACTGAGATTTGGAGAAGGGCACAACTTTAGTTCAAAAATTAAAATGAAAATTAAACACGTACAAAGAAAAAATGTTATCATAGCACTTTTCTAGCAAGTAAAACCAGAATTCCTAATTTTGATTTTTCCATTTTTGATGAGTAACTCACAGAACATCCACAACCAATATTAGCTACAAAATCCTAGCTCAAAATTGCAGTTTTCTAAAAGTAACCACCATATATCTGTCCTTTATTGTAAGGACGATAGGTAGCTAGAAGAGGTTTAACCCCAAAGTCCAATCTGCTTTCAGTCCAGGCCCTTGCACCACAAGATATTGCCCGAAGCACCAGTACTATCATGGAGACTAACTAAAGCTCGTGTTATGTTGACATGTGTTACCCATTCTATAATGGCAACCTCATGCAATAAATATCACAAGTGCTCTAGCTTAGAGCTTCCATGCTTCTGCTTCAGATCTTGGAAAGCGGATAGTTCTCTGGTGAGTTATTACATTGTTGAGATGCAAAACTACCTCGAGGACATTTAAGATGCACAGATAATGAACTCTTGTTCATCGAATACTAACAACCCCAAGTTGAGTATGTTAGAGTACTTATTTTTATGTTTATATTTACGTAGGGTAATACTGTTATTACCTGAGATAGTGTCGATATAAATAAAAGATGAAAAATCCAACACAAGATAATGACTGATCAACAACCTTTCCAAAAACAAATTATTAAAACCCAAAATCAAACCAATAAATATTTAAACTTACGTTAATGACTTTCCATGAAAGACGATTGGAGGGGCAATAGCAGCAAATATGCAAAAACCAATGTGAAGCTGCATAATTAAAATGACATCAAAAAAAGGAAAGCACGCTAACTATGAAAGAAGAAATTAATAAACAAGTCGCATCAAGAAAATATACCAAGTAGACCATGAAAAACCAACCAAACTTCAAGGCACTGTCAGTCCTGCAAGACAAAAATAAAAGTTGAGATAAAATCTTCCATCAGGAGCCAATCCGCACTTTTATGTCATTACTACAGCAACATTTAAGGTCAAATCACAATCAAATCAGAAATGACGAAACAATCCCCATCCAGAGTTCCACATGCAACAAAATCAAATGTAGGCCTATCTCTTGGACAAGTATTTATAGGTACCTGACGATATCCTATGGTGCAACAGAGAGTAGATACCAATATATATGAGTCGATACATTCACAAACAAGTTTGAATGGACTCAACCCATGTTCATACACAGTAAGATTAAGACTATTCAGTCACTAAGAAATAAAATATGCATTATTCTAGACAAATTACCCACAAAGCATTGATATGGACACAACGACGACACACTCACTTGTCCAACTCTATATGAATTAGAACAGAACATAGACTACCATGCCTCAACAACTTCAACTCAACACGACTCAACAAAGCCTTGTCCTAACATTTTTGGGGTTGGCTACATGAACCCTATTTTGCCATTCTGCCCTATCAATGAACCATGCCTCAACAACCTGAAGTTAAAAAATATACTGGTGAGTGAGCTATAAATACAATTCAATCCGAGGCAGAAAAATATTACTGCATCACGCTGGCTGCAGTCATGGAGGGAAGAGAAAGTAAACTCACTTAGCGAGCTAGCAGGCGAGGCTCATTACCATCAACAAACTCACTCCATAGGCAACAAGGGAAAGGGAACCAAGAAAGAAAGCCAGGGGAGACTTCCTTTTTTTTTTTTTTTTGATCAAATGGGGAGACTTCCTGACTTTATGAAGAAATGCCCAACTTGGTAGCTCCCTTAAGTGGGATGGCACACGGGGGAGATTTCTTATTGCCTCCTTCCCTCTTGTAGTGATGCTAGGCGACGAACGTAGGAGAGAAAGTCTCTCTCTTATTCTTAGTATGGTAGCTATAAATACGACTCAAATCTAAGGGCAGAATAAGATTACTACATTAGAGCATCTCCAAGGTTTAGACATATCAGGTCTAAGCCTAGCTCAATTGCAGCCTACTCATTTTTGCTAATCTCCAACAAAACATCATATTTTGACAATGTTCAATGCATAATACGAGGCATTTTCTATTTCCATAGATGGCCAAAATCAACAAAACAAAGGTGAGGGAAAAATGACCACAAGGATAACCAGTACCTCATTGCACGATAAAGTGGCCTGTACCACAAAACATATGAAAGGGGGCATCCAATTAGCGCATATATTGTGGCTAGAAAAAAGATTTTGACACCTGCCAGATAATCCACGAGTTCAGAGGCTCTATAATGAAGCACTGTCAACCCCATTTCTCTTTATTGCACCAAATAATTTTTCAAAAGAGAACTTACCACCACCCCTTATCCAACAAACAGTCACCGCGATAAAATTAAACGTAAGGCAAAGAACTATACCTGCAGATATTAGTTGAAAAAGGTAAGAAATAACAAAAATGCAAAAATGTTTGCAGCAGACACATGCAACAAAAAGAAGTTAAATACAACAACCACAGACAAATGCAAGTCTTCCTGCCAGAGATACAGCATAGAGCCAATTTATAGAGAGAAAAAAAATTTGAAGCTCTTTCCTGTTTGGCCCATTTGGAAACATGGGAACCTTATTGAGAAAACAACCATCTCCATACTTCCTCAAAATCAAAAGAACCAGATTACAAAATCCATACCTAACCAGCTTGCAAAAGCCAAATACTGCAACCTCTGAGCGTTGGGTGGTATTTCATTTGCTATATCATGATGAATAATAGGAAAAACGGGTGGCCAGTTTTTATCATCTGATGGGACGCCAGCTGGATTGCAAATTTGCAAAATGGGAGCAGACAAATAGTAAGACGTCACAACATGCTGAAAAACTAACTAATATGTTGTTATAGCATTACTATTGATGCCAATTAGTCTCATTACTAACCGCTGGCAACAGCATCTTCTCTACGTTTAATCTCCTGCAGAAGGACAAGTTGATGAGCACAATGCAGCAGAACAAATTGAAATGTCTTGCATGTAAATGTTACAAACACATGCAGAATCAAGAAATGTCATAAGAAGCATTGTTGACATCTAATTTAATAATTTTTTTGGCAAAAAACTTAACCCCTGCCAACATAGATGAGCTATTCAGGACAATGAAAACTACGGGTGTCGATTTTACCCATTGACATGAACACAAAACGAATACAACATGACAGGACATGAACCCGAAAAATAACTAGCCAATTAACATGGATAATAAATGTGTCGGGCTAGTGCTAGACACAAATAAACATTTAACTGGTATCGTAAGACAAAATGTTTGATTTTCTTAAAAAAAAAAAAAATCATTCCTTGATCTAGAATTGTATGGATTCTTTTAGCATCAAAGCGTTTTTTATCTGATTTTACTAGGACTTTAATCAAGTTGCCAGACACAAATAAACATTTAACTGGTATCATAAGACAAAATGTTTGATTTTCTTTTAAAAAAAAAAAAATCATTCCTTGATCTAGAATTGTATGGATTCTTTTAGCATCAAAGCGTTTTTTATCTGATTTTACTAGGACTTTAATCAAGTAGATTTTCAATTTATGGAAGACCCATGTTTGGTGGATTTGGTTGAGAAATGGCAAGGTACTATTTATTCCTGGGTTACTAGTTCCTTGTTTACACGAACATAACACAAACTAAAAATGGCATGAATGATACCACCCAAATGACACGACATGAACCAAAATGACACAACACGTCTCGAGTGACTTCCCTAATGAACACATAATAAACTTATTAAGAACATGGGCAAGAACATGCATAGTAATAGAACAGCAAAACCAACCCGTTCCCTCCTTTTCAGATCTGCATCCCAAGCTGCAAGTTCTTTCTCCTTTTTCTTAGGATCCTGTGATACCATACCATACAATACCAATCATATTTCCAAACAGTAACCAGATATTTGTGTATGAAATAGTAACTGATTACATTCATCGTATCCAATGGTATATCCACTGTAGCATCATGTTTCTGGCCAAAACCTAAGGTATCAGCAACCATTTTAGGAATGCGCGACTTTGATCCAGGAGCAGCACTGCCATTCTGCAATGGACACCAATAAAAGGCATTTGAGACAAGCATGAATCAAATGAATACAAAAAAAATTAGCGTGCCAAGTCAAAATTGCATGTCCTTATCATGTAAAGTCAGTCATTTGAAAATCCAAACCCACCAAGAAACGAAAGGCCTCTCCTCATGCAGTAACCCAAACAACAATCAATTAACTCGGTGTACATATAGCGAACAAAGAACTTAATCTTGCACAATTAGATAAAATCTCCTCCCTAGAAATACCAGCAAGCATAGTTTTAAACAACACTAACAGACACCGTAACAATAAGGAACGCAGTATGTAGCAAGTGTCTGATAACATGAACAACACTGAGAACATAAGTTTTTTTTTTTTTTGTTGGCATCCACACCTCTCAGAAGGAATTAATTATCCACACGTTTTATGTCCAAATCAAGTACACAGAAATCCTTTTTTATTGATGATAATTTCTTATATTACATTCATAACCTCAGCATGCTAAACTGGTCAATTAATGCAAGCAAACAATAGAATAAAAGTGTACCTACATTTGTTGAGCATGTGATATCCAGCAATCCATTTAACATTGAGCTTGAATTAGGCACATGTGGGCCACAATATCAATTGTCAGAAAGTTCTTAAAGTTGCTTGCAGAGAGCGTATGAATTATTTATGGGAGAAAAAAGGGGCCCAATTCCATCAGAAAACTTCTACCATTGTCGTCAATACGGACACTTGTCACTTATGTATTCATCCAACTTGTTGATAATGCAACAAACACCACTAAGTAAATAGAATGTAGAATAACATGTTGCAGTTGATTTCTACCATGCCCAAAAGCCTGCCAACCCAAGTGATTTCTACCTACTACCCTTCTCAAGTCCAGACTATAGCGCATTCGAACATCTCCTCTGACTAAACAAAGGCCATGGCGAGCTAGGAGAAGATAGAAGAAGAAATACAGCAAAGGCAGAAATGACTTCTTACCAGCGTTTGCGCCACCATAACGTCCAATAAAACCTGTTACGCCAGCATCACAACCACTATATAGGTGAAAATATTCTCACTGCTAAATCAGAGTGTAACAGTATCAGAGGCCACTGCTACTATTTCATAGCTGATTTCACAATTATAGCAATAAGGCTTAAGGACTCGAGCACAAATGCTTCCTCTAGTGCATTCATTGTGTTGTTTTTTTACTACACTAAGCATTGAAATGCTTGTGGCCAGTAGTCCACCCGCCTTCTACAGTTTATTCATCTTGCATCCACTAATCGTGGTTTCCAAATACGGTTTTTCGGTTGACATCTCTTCTAATTCGTTGATACAAGGAGCAAATTGTTGTGTGGAGGAATCAATATTTAGACATACGCCAAGAGGCGGATCTTGTGCCACTCCACCTGGTGGTATGAAACTGGCATGCATCTTGTCTCCCGAGATTCTTTTATAGAATTCCAACAATTTCTCCTGCTCCTCAAAAGTCCACACATGAAAATTTTTAACAGCCACATGCTTGCTTTTCGTTTCTATAAAATGCAACAAATACCTCTATATTCTAATTTAAACTCGAAAGTAGCAATGGTGAGAGGCCACAAAACCATCAATCCAAATTTTTGAAATTTCAAATTTTTTCACTATGAAAAAATATTCCGTGGCTTTTTCTTATTGGCGTCTTCTAACTTTTTTGTCTGGTATGGATAAACCTTTGTTGCTATCGGTAGACTCTTTTTCCTCACTATCACTTTATCTTATCCTTATTGCACGTCTCTCTCTTTCACATATGTCAATCAGTTTCCTTAACCTTCTCAGTTCTCTATTGTAAATGTTCTATGCACTTCCCTCAACCTCCATTTCTTCAAATTCTTAATCACAAATTCCAAGACTCTACCTCTTTTTCTCGCATAAATTTTCAGTAGTTTCACAGCATACCCAGATGTGTGCAGATTTTTGTTACACTGCTAAAGTATTCTCGTCGCTTTGTAGGCCTAAAAGAGGGTGGCACTCCTGCTCCAGTCCTACATAGAATTACAGTAGATAATATATCCCCAGGCAATGTTCAAGACTGCTCCGAATGAATGAACATTTCTTTTTCATTAACAGGAGTTCCAATTTGATCACCTAGAGAACATCACCACCGCTAGTTTTCTTATCTCCCAAACCCCAACATGTAGACACCAAGTTTCACAAGGTCTTCACTGTGACTACTGATAAATAAGACTACAAATCTGGTTAACATGGCATTTATCAGTGATTGCATTTCAAAGCTGACATGAAATATCATAAAGTCTTGATTAAAGTATGTAGCGAACTGTTGATTAAAGCACTTCATAGTATGAGGTCATGATTGTATTGTGCATGTAACTCTTGATTTGACTAACTTATCGCTTAAAAACTTTATATATCAATTATACATTCATGATTATAGTGCGTACATAACCCTTGATTTTAGTACTTCCCGCTTAGAAACATTTTATATCAATTAATCACTTTTCATAACTATTTTTTCGACGGGGTTATATAACTTATATTAGGGCCTCCGGATACCATTGGAAGTGATCTAACAATGGCAGCTAGGAAGTTGTTATGAGGTTCCGAGACTGAAGTTTTTTTATGTATATATTATTTGGGAGTTTATTGTATGGTATGGTGAAGATTTTTGGGCACGTGTGGCAAGTTTTTAGGATCATATATGATTCTATATTTTTTGTAGAGGAAAGCCTCTGGCATATTATATGATAGAATGATACCAATAAATAAGTTTTACCAAACAACTATAAAGACAACAATGTTGTATGAGACAGAATGTTGGACAACTAAGAAACAACATAGTAACAAAATAATTGTAACGGAAATGAGAATGTCAACGTGGATGTGTGGAGAAACTAAAAAAGATAGAACAAGAAATGCACGTATTAGAAAAATGGTAAGAGTCGCTCCAATTGAGGATAAGTTAAGAGAAAATAGATTAAGATGGTTTGGTCATGTTCAACGGAAGCCAATAAAGACACCAGTTTTAAAAAAGTGAGAGAATTTATCTTAATGGTACTAAAAGTAGAGATAGACCTAAATTAACATTGAAAGAAATAATAAGAAAAGATATAAAAATATTTAACTTAAATGAGCATATAACGCATGATCAAAATAAATGGCGAAATGGACTCATTTAGCCGACCCCAACTAATTGGGATATAAGGCTTGGTTTGGTTTGATTTGGTTTATATGATTCCATATTTTTAGTGGAAATAATTGAATTTAGTATGTTATGAAATTTTTATTTTTGTGGATAAATTTTGACTTTATAGATGACCTGAAAATTGTTGTTATAACAGGCTTTGATGAGTTTGGGTATAGCTGAATTTTAACTTTATGAGTGACTGATTTTTTTACATAGAGGATAGTTCCATTAATCTACAGACTTGATTCACCAATATGTGATACTGGTGAATTTTATGATATTTTTAATACATACACTAGTGACTAGTCCATGTATTGCACGGGGTCCCCCTAGTAAAAAAGTAATCCAATGGGTAAAGCCTTTTTGTTTTAAGCTTTGGGGTAGTCTTAAAACATACTCCTTGCGCCCATTCCCACAAAATCACATAATCATTTTGCATATGAGTAGTAGATCCACAACATATAAATCCCCATAAATCCAACAAAATTAATGCTTACAGTTCTAACTTTAATTTCAGAACTACCCCCCATCATACGAGAAAATTCAATACCAAAATTTCTCCACACAAATAATAAAATCCAAGGGTTCTCAGATCTGGATCAAACAAACACCATTTAACAAAATACCCATGAAATAAGAATCACCGAACCTATAAGCACACTCGTGAAATTAACTACAAAACATAGATATTAGACAAGAAATAATCAAATTTAAATTTAAGAAAGCTAAAAATAGACGGATTTAGGAAAGAAAAAACAGGTAAAAGTGTAATTTACAAAACGGTTACCGAAAATGGATTGACTTCTGGTTCTTCTTCGTCAAAGGGGTTCGGATCGTTGCGTTGATTCCTCATGGCCTCTTTCTTTCCTCCAATTCCCGACAGATTTGCAGCAAAAAATGGAGAGAGAGAGAGAGAGTTGAGTAGAGAAGCACTAAAACTCACTGTTTCCCGTGCTTCTACGTAACGCGGGATATATCAGAATTAGAAATGAAACTGGCCATGTATTTGCCCCCGGGAAAATAATGAAATTACAAGCTGTGCCCTTACCTAAGGTGAGTGAGGGTGATTGTTAGTGGAATTATATCCTGTGGACACTATTCCAGTCGCCTATCTAATAGACGAATCAATAACTGCCACGATATATTTGTTCCACGTGACAGTCACGTGATTGCCCAAGTAGATGGGGGCATTCTGCGGCACGCAGCTGTGCTCTGTGCTCTGCTGTGCTGTTGCCGATATGCCACGCAACTGGACTTTTTTAATTCCCGAGTTGACCCTTCAACCATACGTCGGTTGGGGCATGAGATGAACCGGTTGTTTTGGGTAACTGGGTAACACTACTCTACCGCCAAACTGCATTAGCTTGGCCTGTATATGGGTGACACGTGTTTTTTTTAAATCCATTAAAATCAATGCAGTTAGTTATTTTTGACAGTAACTATAAGACATGTAGTTAACCAAAGCAGTTCTAGTTAACCAAAAGTTATACCATATGCAGTCCAATTGTAATTCATCCATTAAACTTGTACCGAATAGAGTTGTACCCGATAACCCAATTATTAATATCAATTATATTTAAGAAAAAATTATTTTACTTTTATTTTGTCTATGTATTTTATTAGGGGTGTCAATTTTTTGACTCAAACCGAACCCGACACAAATCCAAAAATTACACGATTCATTGACACAAATAATAAATGGGTACTGTAGATAGAAAATAATTATTTAATAAGTATTTTAGATAAAAAAAAATAAGAATTTTATAATTTTTTAAATAGTATTATATTAGTCGTTGTCAAATTAAATAATTTTTTATTAACATGACCGAAAGTGACACGACATGAAACCGATACCACACCCCTATATTTTATCTTCAAAAAAAAATAGTTATGGAATAAAAATATTAGTTGAAAGAACAAAATAAAAATATTGTTATACTTCATGGGTGTAAGTGTAATTTAATTAAGACCGGTCCTGCAAATGAAAAATCAATCATGTATTACATATTACACTTTTATCCTTTAATATTATACTTTTAACCTTTTTATATTACACTTTTAACTTTTTAATATTATAATTCATCAAATTAACATCTAAAATCATTCAATAAATAGTCAATTTATCACATCAATATCAAACATGCAATTTCATCCAATTAAAACTCAATTCATCAAATGTACACAAAATTAACATTCAATTTTTCAAATCAAAATTTAATTTTATCTAATAAACATATAATTCATTAAATTAACATTAAAATTCAACTAATAAACATTTAATTCGTAACATTCAATTTCATCTAATTTATATTCAAATTTATTCAATTCATAAAATTAACATCGAAAATCCTTAAAACAAGATTTTTTTTTTCAGAAAGTAAATTGTATTAATAGAGAACCAAGTATACAAGGAGAACACTCAAATGTACAAACCCAAAAAGTCAAACCCCCAAAACACAAGTCTGTAGGATACCCTGATTGAAGGGATTCTCCATATGCAATCTAGAATAAATGAACTAGTTGGGTCAAAACCCCAGCTGCACCAGTAAGTTAAAGAGGCTCCAAATAGGAATTAAATCACCCCAATGCAGCCCAGCAAGCCAATCAACAGTCAGTATAAGAGGCTACATTAGGGAACAAAACAGCTGGGACATCCCCTCCAACATAAGCTAGATGCAGGGAAGCAAGAGAGGAAGAGTCATCCATCCTCCATAAAAGTTGTATAAGAAAAAAAAAACAGACAAAAACAGATAAACCATTTAAAATATTATGGTTTTGAACATTTTCTTTTTTGTTAGAGTTCTCTTTACGACTCGACTATAATACTCTT